ACCGGGCGAGCCGGCCCATTCGTGCGAAGATGTTAAAGCGGGCTCTACCACTGTTAAAACTCTCATACGATATCTTTCTATCTCTCTCATACATAGTAATCTAGTATTATAAAGAGGAAACATTTGTATTTGTGGATCGTATGTATTGAAATAGCTGAAAACTACGAGGACAATTTTTTTTAATATCATAAAGTGGCAACTCTTTCATCTCTGAGTAACATAGGCTACATTTTCAGTAATTTTCAATTTCACGCGAACGATGTCGCAGGCAACAGCTAGTAATAAGGTCATTGGAATTAAAGAGCGACTAAACAATAGTACGATAGTTTAGTCAAAGACGTGCGCGCTCTAAAAGTTCGTTCCCAATCTAACAGAAGTATGTAAACATAGCTAGCATACTTTAGAACGAATGCAAAATATACTAAAAGTAAATTTGTTTAATCTGAATTTTTGACAAAGACAAAAGAATGTAATACAATAGATGAATTGAGCAATCGAAGAGAAAGTCAGAAAACATAAGATTTAGGCCGTACAAGAAACGGGCACGCGGATTTGACGGCAACTGTACAAATAACACCAAAATATCGGTTGAAATGTATGACAAATATTGTACAATTGGGCCAATGACTCAATAAAACTTGCACAATATTTATATAAACTGTTTTAGGATAATGAATCAAGACTTGAAATGTGACGAATGTTTTGTAAAATCAGACTTTGGATTATTTAATGTATCGTACCGTTTAGTTTTATATTCTTAAACAGAGCTTAAGCTTTATTACAGTACTAGCTTTGGCCCGCGACTTCGTCTGCGTGAAATTAAACAAAATCTAAAGTATCCAATGTATGCTTTCTGACTATCCTCTATATCTATATCAAATTACATCGATATACATTTAGCTGTTTAGGCTACAAACTCTAAAATCTATCCGACTAAAATATAGCATTTATAATATTAGTAAGATGTAGTTTAAATCATAATTAAATTCGACATTCCATGTTGAAGCGGCAACTACAAGAGTGTGATTCGATCTTTATAATTTCGAAGTTTGATTTCGTAAAAAAATTCATATGTTTTGGTTTTCAACATGGGAGAATTTAGAAAGAAGTTGGGAATTATATGCTTACTGGTAACTCTAGGAACACCTTAAAAATTGCTATAATATCCATCTCTATACAGCCAAAACATTGCATTAGATTTAAGAAACAAAAATTCCACATTCAATATTTGGAATAATATTAAACTCCAATCAAACATCCCTCGACGGTTCAAAAAAACGTAAATCCTACTAAATCCCTATCAAAAACTGTAGCATAGACGGTACAAGTCACATCTGCGGCAACACAAAAATGACAATAGGGCGAGCTGATAACACTTGAACCCACTTAATCCATGCTGCGAGCATATTCCTAATTCTTCTTGCATCTGTGACCCGGATCATGACGCGACTGCGTACATAAGCGAAGCGGGAAGCGATTTTACTTGTAACCCTTAATTCGACGGAAATTTTTGTTGCAAAAAATCCTGTGTTACCAGAAGACTAAATTCAAAATGTCACGTATTTTTAATAGTATAGTATTCTTTTTGTTGTCTTTTACCCTTGACCCTATCGATTTTACGGTTAAACATAAATTACATCACATCATTAAAATAATTTAAAACAGATAGGAATAATGATTTTTTAACGTATTTTTGGTAATGTCAAAGGTAGAGTATGTGTGAGGTACACATTTAGACATTTACAAAAAAGATCTTTCCAAATTAAACTAATTTTTCTGATTAGTAAACATAAAATAATTATTTGTTTCGTCTTAGTACTAGTAAATTAGTCATGAAAAATTAATATACCTAATGTGTATTTATTAAGAATTTTTTTTAACATTTTCCTAACCGCTAATCGCTTCAGCTTTTAAGAGGTCACAGCCTAAAGACGCCCCCGATTGTGGGGTATTTAAATGCAATGCGAAATTCATTTGCGTTTTTACAGCAAGTGCTTGCTTCGTTCCTCACTGTATATCGTTTATTTTTTTATTGAACGTATTATAATATTATTTTTTATACGTGAGGGTACAACTTTTACTAAGCACGTTCTCGTTTGATTTTATGCTTTGAATTATATGAAAAATGGTTAAATTCCGTTTAAAACTGTAACAATATTTTCCTTACCATTAGTCAGAATTTTATAAGAGACCAAACATTCGTTTATATTTTTAATTCTGGCCATTAACTACTTACGTCGTAATTATTGTCTAATGATTATTTAGTGATAAGCGTGACCCTTAGTAATCATTTAACGTCTGTGATAGCCACATTAAAAACCATGCTTTGTGTATCCTAAACATGCTGATAAAAATTATAATATATAAAATTAAAAACAGTTTAACATTTGGTCCTTACAGCCCTAAATAGGCGCCTGCAATTAATCCGGCACCCGCGTAATTCTATTAACATTGTACACGCACCCTTATGATTGATGGGGTAACATGTGTACACCACTTTATGGCAAATTGATTTTTCAATGTCCCTTTTTATCAATAATGTTATCAGATAAATTGAACCAAATACTTATAATTTCATTATAAGAGTGCAAGATCGTATGTTACGATTTTAAGGGCCTGTCCCACCACTGGCTGATAGAGGCTCAGATTGCTTAAAAATGACGTCACAGTCAGATAAAGGAACCAAATCCGATGTTACCATCAAACATTTTACATGTTGTTATGAGACAGTTTACAATTTGGTGGGACAAGCACTACCTATACTAAATACGTAATAAAGTTGAGACCGAAGAAATGGATTGTATGAAAGAGCATATAGCTTAAGTAGGGAGTAAATTCAGATGTGACGGCTGAGACAGATGGACACCGTAAGGACAAGAGCAATTTGACAATTAAATACAAAATTAAAAATATCATAATCAACTAAAAGCATGAGGTATTTTCACTTGTAATTTTGAAATTTTGAAGTCGTGAAATTGAGTCAAAAACGAAATGTAACATCCAAAACAAGAACTAAAAAATCTTTTACTTGCTCTAATATAAAACATTATTATAAGAAACATCCGTTAAAATTTAAATGTTTCCCAAATTCAATTAAAACCCTTACAAAACATCAAATATCGTTTTCAAGGGCGATGTTCGCATCTACTTTTGGCTGTTTGAATCCTCCCTACGTAGAATCTCTTCCAACAAATGTCAACCTCTCAACCAAAGCCTATTATATGAGGATTACCAGTAATGAAATATCTTTAATCTGTATTAGTTCCTCGTGGTACATTTTTGTTGGTATTCAGTAGCGGTTTCGCTTTGATTGGATAGTTTTCCTTATACGAAAGGGGATTTTCGATTGCTTTCACTTATTTCCACTGTTGATAACATAATAGTTTCTCAGTGAAATCACTATCATCAAATACTAGCTGTTGCTCGTGACTTCGTGCGCGTAAAATTAAAAACTAATACAAAATGTAGCCTATGTTCACTGATAATGTAACTTTTTAATTGTGAAAGATTTTTGTAAATCGGCCCAGTAGTTTTTGAGTTATTTCAATACATACAAACATACAAATTTTTCCTCTTTATAATATTAGTATAGATATAGATACCAAAGTGACTTGATGCGTCTTTCCCTTTATTTGACTTCCGCTTATCACTTGGCATGCAGGAAACGTTTTTTCACGTATGTGCACGGTTTACATATAAATACGTATTTAGAACATTCGTTGTAAATAATTTAGTAGTTTTCGATTCACTGCGATATATCCTTTGAACGAAATATCCCCGCGATTTACTAAAACAACACACGCTGCAAATGTAATTTTTTTTTTATATTACAAGGTGGCAAAAGAGCAAGCGGCCACCTGAATCCGCCAAAATGGCAAAGAGACCGCTGCCCATAGACATTCGCTATAGCGGATGCGTTGCCTACCCTTGATCGACGGAGGAGACGCACATAAAGAGAAAATTTCTTTTTCCTATGCGTCTCCTCCACCGTCATATCCACATTCCCTTCCCATACTTTTCATATAAGAAAAAGAGAGGGAAGGAAAAGGGACTAAAGTTGGGCCTCCGGCACCACACTCATCAGACGAAACGTGGAATTGCTCCCACTTCACGCCTGTCTTCAGTGTGGTCGTGGTATTGCACCGGTCGAGCCGACCCATTCGTGCAAAGATGTTAAAGCGGGCTCTACCACTATTCAATTTTCAAATTCAACGCAAGTTTTTCCCGTACGCCAAATGTTATAGACTATCCTCTACATCTATACAAAATGTCATCTAGAAGCATTCAGCATTATACTATAAACTCTAACAAACATCTCTCCATCTATCCAAACTTTTGCATTTATAATATCAGTAAAAAAACATTTTGTTTCAGATGTCAGGCGGGCACGGGGCGGTGCGTAGTGGACAAAGCGCACAGAAATCAATGCCAGGCGTGTCGTCTCAAGAAGTGTCTCGCTATGGGAATGAACAAAGATGGTAAGAGCAGTATAAACAATCGATTGGTAACATTTTATCTGCTAATATAAGGTTTATTCTATAATATAGGCAATAGTCTGGAAGCAGTGTTTACTAAATACAAATAATTGAAACTTTAGTCAAAAACGAAAGTAGTAGTGTCGCGAAACTCTCAAATCTAAAACAAAAGAGGAAATATCCTCTATCTGTCACTTTTTCCGTCAATTAAAGATATCGCTTTGCTATTGCGCTAAATACAAGCCGCTTGTTCATTGTAAACATCATCATCATCATCATCTCCTCTGCCTTATCCTACTCCCGTAGGGTCGGCGCACCGCATTTTCGTTCTCCAAAGCACTCCATCATGCGTCATCTCAGTCATCACTCCCTTCTTGATCATGTCACCTTTCACGCAATCCATACATCTCTTTCTAGGTCTACCCCTACCGATGTAAACATTATAATATAAAAATATCTCTCTATCTCAATTGCATTATTATTTTTACATGTAATTGACCAGTTGTTGCTCTAAAATGACTTCACTGTCAGATGCGTGCCAAAATCCAATATTTCTATCATATATTTCATTATTTTAGAATTGTGGGACAGGCCCTTAATATCGTTACTCACTGATAACGTAGCTTTTAATGGTGACAGAATTTTTGAAATCGGTCCATTATTTTTTGAATTATTGCAATACATACAAAAAATACAAATCTATCCTTTTAATAATATCAGTATAGATATAATCAACAAATACTTTCCCACACTATACTCTATAATAAAACATCATAAACAAATCAAAACATGTCAAAATCCTATAACGTAGGAACAAATCCGCGCAATGCTTTACCCGTCACAAACAAGCAGGGACGCAATTAGGCGTCACTACATTAGAACGGACATATCGAAAGACCCTTTGTGTTTATTGTACAAGGGAAAAACAACTCTATTCTAATCCAATACGATTAAAAATGATTCGACATTGCATTTCAATAAAGGAAACAAAAGTTAATACAATAGAATAAATGTTATTAGATAAGTAACAGAAATAAAATCGTTACTGAATTTCTGATATCGATTTAAATGTGTATGAAAGGTGTTGTTAATCTATACTATTATAATAAAGCGTAAACACACAATTCTTTGTTGCCTAAGATGTCAGCAATTACAGCATATTTTTGAATAACTCTTCTTTTAATAAAAAGCCCTACACTTACGTCACGCTTTAGGCTATATATTTTCACGCCATTAAACTTAGGGGGTAAATATCTTGGATAAAAACCTTAATGTGGGAAAGAGACCATAAGTGGCTACTAACATCGTGGAAGCAAGATTGCCAAGGTTTGTGATGTCATGTCATTTTGACATGACATGCGGATGAAGTCGCACGGGAACAGCTAGTTAAAATACAATAATAGGAACTGTGAGATGTAGCTTGTAATGACATAAATCGTATACTTTAAAAAACGAAGTAACATTTCCCGACATCTCACTAATACTATAAATGCAAAAGTATAGATGGATGTTTGTTAGAGTTTGTAACCTAAACTGCTGAACGGATCTTGATTAAATTTGGCTTATATGTAGAGGACAGTCTGGTAGAACACATAGGCTACTCATTATTGCTTTTTTAATTCCGTACGGACAGAGTCGCATGATAGTAATTCAATAATAGAAAGCCTTCTATCAGTCAAATATTTTTATGTCCATTCTGTTTTAAATTTTATAAAGCAAGAGAACAAAATATTTCCTCGCGTATCTTAAAGTGAACTAAGTCAATACACAATTATATTTCTAAATCCTTTCTCTAACAGTAATAATACAAATAATGTGACACTAATTTTAACAATGGGAACACGCCACATAAGCTCTAATAAAGATAGCCCCAAGCAAAAAGGGTTACATAATAATAGCTTTGAACTTAATAAGTCTGTAAGGGCACGTGACTTAGTGGTTAGTATTGAGACAAATAGCACCGTAAAGCATAAAAAATTAAAAATATCAATTAGCATTGACTTGCAGATCCGTCCGCTTAATTAAGAACAAAGTACGTAACCTATGTGTTTCAATTTTCTCGAGATCCGTTCAGCAGTTTAGGCTACAAACTCTAAAAAACATCAATTTAAACTTAGCTTAGCAAGATATCTAATGATTAATATTAAATTTAAGATAATTGTAAGGTGCATTCTAAATACAAAAAAAGAAGATTTTATTAAGGGTAAAGAGAGTAGCTCTATGTTCTTGACGTTTTTAGAAAAAATATTATACAATATCTCTCGGTCCATTTAAATTATTCCATCGTGCCTGATCTAGTGTAAGACGTTATGCACAAAACTAACAAATTTATGCACGAGTTAAAAAATTAAATGGAAAATATTTGTAGTGTAGGGTAAGCCTTCATTTGTATACCGAGCGGTTTGCCGACACGTGTCGACGCGTGTTCCTTCCAGTGTTTTTAACTCCGGCACGCTTTCCCTTCCAACCAACAACTATTAGTAACATTTTGTTGTGATTACTAAAGGAGTGAGAGATATTACTTGCTGACTAATTGGTTTGTTCTAAACTCGATTTTATATAATATTAACGAAAGTGTCTTACATTTTTACCATGTTCGTAAGACACGGGTCTCTCACCACGATTTGTTTTTTTGACCATTATATTTGTAAATTAAGAGTTTAAATTTATGTATTATAATAATAGTGAATAATAATTCACTAGAACTTTAAACTTTGCAAAGAAATATAACTTATAATATAAAGAAGAAATATTTGTATTTTGGGATTCTTGCATGTATTGAAATAACTCACAAACTACTGGGCCGATTTAAAAAAATATCTCACCATTTAAAAGCTACATTATAAGTGACTAACACATGCTATACTATTTTTAATTTCACGGTGACGAAGTCGCGAGCATCAAGCTAGTTTATATATTGCTTTTGTCAGAATCCTGAGATGTCAGGAGTTTTCTAATCAGGACGCTTGTACCTTCTAATGTTAAAGTTTATATGGATGTTTGTTAGAGTCTGTAGCCTAAACTGCTGCACGGATTTCGATGAAATCTGACATAGATGTAGATGATAGTCTCGAAGAACCCACGCTTATGTTATATATGTTATTTTTAATTTCACGTGGTCTGAGTCGCGGGCGAAATCCTCTCTTAAATATTAATTGACACAAGCAGAAGTAAAAACAGCTTCATTAATGCAGAATGCCTTAAGCCGATTCTAATAAGTCGCCACACCTCCCGCTTAACGACCGCACGTACTGCATCCTTTTCGCTTGTTATACAAACTACAAAGCAGAATGCCTCGGGCGTTCGCACATCACATTCAAATTACTTCAACCCCACGATGTTTAACCGCAATTTTTAAATCTTTTATAACAATGTCATTAGCAATTCTCAGTGAAAAAGTTGGAACAAAACCAATTAGTAAATGTACAATTTCTAGACGTAGAACGTATTTGACATTATTCGGTAAATGACGACAAATGCTACATTTAGTAATTGTTTACATTATGCCTTATCCAGAAAGCTCTCTATGGTGTCCAGGATTTTTATCTGCTGCAATAATTTTGAAGTATACCGGTAAGAAGAAAAGCAGTACCGTAGTCATTGACATATACGTCACATCCCTATGACAGCTGTCAAATGTCATTAGAACTATTGGATTTGTGCGCGATCCTTGTGAGATCTCTAGCTGAGAGTTTTAATTAATATCGCTAGTTACAATTACATTGTTTAAAATAAATAGTTTTCGTTCGAAATATCTGTATATTTTTCACATTATGTAATTTGTTATTATCAATAAAATATATGTATTGCGAACTAGCCAAATAAGTAAACTCTTCTTTAGTATTTAAAAATTTAATGTACGAGTATTATAAAATTCACATACAATTAGATATTTTTACCTAAAAATTATAGTACTTCTTATAAATGTTAAGTTTAACAAAAGCTTTTATATAATTCAGATCACATTCAAAGATATTTAAAAACTTCCTTACAACATCTAAGTAAAAAAGTAATTCAATAAATCGATATCGAAAAGACAATGCGAAACTTCGGTAACTCCAAGTCGAAAACTCACGATTTAGATATCCAACAATTACCATAACGTACGAGCGTTGAACAATGAAACGTTGATCCAATTTAACACGAAAAGAAACTGTCAAAAAGATGTACCGTTGTAATGAGGGCATAGAGGCGTACCCTGGGGCACAACCGACGGGAAGCTTTTATTGTGTTAAGCTCCGGCATTATTTTGCACTTGGCTTTCTCCCGTGAAAAGGAACACTTAATTCGGTTACACTTTGAGATGCCGACGCTACAATCTCGTTACGTTTGGGCGTTGGGACCACGCTCCACCTTGTCAAACGCCTCGGCCCCACCTTTTATATATTAATTACAAGCACAATTAGTATTACAGTATCCAGATTTTTTAATTCAAATTATTATATTTTATCTGATTACAATATTCTTATAGAAAATACTTAACTATTACGAAATCATAAATTAAAAAGAAGAGTGTTATAATCATCGCCGATGTTAGCTTTTAAAAACTATAAATTTATCCTATAAATCTAAAAACTACCTTCCGTCCGCGAGTCGTTGCATTTCGTTCGTCTAAAATGAAAAAAAAATCAAAAGTGCCTACTAGTTCATCCAGACTGTCTTCTACATCAATGCCAAATTTGATTTGATGTAACAAATGTCCATCCATACAAACTCTCGCATTTATAATTTTAGTAAGATGGAAGTTATGAACTATTTTACTTTAGAGTAAAGAATAACAGAGGACTTTCTCATAAATTCGTCTCCTAACATTTTAGAAGACACTAGAAAGCGGGGAATTAAAGATTCATTTGTAAAATTAAATGCTAATGGAGTGATTTCGGATTTTAATCCTGGACTGTATACCTTTTTCGTACCGCTTTGAGCCCGGACTTACAATTTGTACAGTCAGTTGGAAACTTCTTAACGACCAGTTTTAATTATTTTATGGTGTGTTTTTTTAGCAGATTAATCGATTTCATAGATTAAACGACTCGTCAATCAGTCTAAAGGTATTTTTAAATTATAATACAATAGTTAAAACAGTTTATAAACTCTCAGTTACATAATTTGGTTCATCTCTTACTATAAAAATATTAACATTGTTCACCGGTTCTATGCGTTTCTTTTCATTACGAATTGCCTCCGATTTATGAGTAGAATATTCCATAATATTTTTGCACACTACCGCTAAAAAATCTAGTTGGTATATTAGAATTTCTTTTCTATTTATAGTTAATTTATATTTTATAGCTGTTCCCGTGCGGCTTGATCCGCATGACATTATGAAAATTTTATTTTATTGTTTACATTTGTCAAAATATCAATAGCAAATGTGAAAATGACATGACATTACAAACCTTGACAATCTTGCTTCCTTGATGTTGGCAGCAACTTATGGTCTCTTTCCCACATTAGGGTTTTATCCAAAACATTTACCTCCTAAGTTTAATGGCGTGAAAATATATAGCTTAAAGCGTGACGTAAATGTAGGGCTTTTCATTAAAGAATTAATTATTCAAAAATATGCTGTAATTGCTGACATCTTAGGCAACATAAAAGTGTGTGTTTACGCTTTATTATAATAGTATAGATGATGCTGACATTTTTGTCTTATTATTTTATTTGGTAACAAATTTCGTGCACGACTGTACAGAAATCCAACATCGCGTACCCTAACAGTTAACTGTTTATACCGGAGTTAAAGCTATAGCAACAGACACTGATTAATGCGATTTTAATCCTTCCTTAAACCCCCAAAATCCGACCCTGTACTAATCGCATCCAAGTCACAACTACCGTTCATTCTAATTTAAACTCTATTACACAGCTGCTAAAGTACTTATAACTTCACAAGAGTAAGTATCGAGGTGTCTGAAAGGATTCACAACTTTAACGTTTAGCCAACGTAAATCCAATTTCTAACGTATGAAGGTCGATTTTTCAATTGTCACAATTGTTCATCTTTTACAAATACAGTTCAATCGATTTAAAACTGAAATCCTTTTGCTGTAAAGTCCAAAATTAATTGTATTGGATGACTTTAAAATGTTAAAGTCGAATCAATTTGGCAAAAAAAGGAAAGAGTAAGCATGTGCAGTTTTGTAAAAGAGTGAAAGAGATGTTTGTATGTCGCACACGTTTGATTTCAAATTGATTCGTTGAGTTACAGATGAGGTCTTGCACCTGATTCCTTTCATTTAATACGTTTTCTTCACATTTTTCTCTGTATAAGGCGTTTCTATTCCTATATTTAATTTCAAATGACAAAAATTTTAAATTTTCTATAGTTACTTAAGTATATAATTTAATTTATTTAAGTTCAGAGTTCATTTGTCTCAAAGGCACAGCGTTTTTGGTGTTGCAAATGTCCATCGTCGATGATAACTACGGTATACTCTTAAATCTATACTATAAAGAGGAAAGATTTGTATTTTTGTATGTATTGAAATAACTCAAAAACTACTGAGCCGATTTCAAACAATTTTTCACCATTAGAAATCTACGTTATCAATGAGTACCATATGGTACGTTTTGTATTATTTTTAAATTTCACACGGGCGAAGTCGCAAGCTACAGCTAGCAAAAAACAAAAAAGACCACAAAGCTATATACATTTTGTATAATACTACGGATTGCAAAACAAGACATATTTATTACTGTTATTTTCTATTACTCCACTATTCTACCGTACAGGTGTATGTATTTTAGATTTAGTACAAGCATCATTTATCCACTCTGATTATCGTAAAATTCGTATTCGTCCAAATAATTAAGTCAAATTAAGTTAAATATAAGTGAGATCTGCTCTCGCACACACACTAGTTGTCCCCCTAACTACAGTCGGCCCCTCCCACATCCGGCCGCAGCCATCTTTGATTCTCACTTCCGGGCAGAGAGGGACGGGTGATTTCACGACTGATTTAGTATATTAACACTATAAATAGAAAACATTATGTATGTAAAAATTTTTTTTAAGGTTAGGTTTCGTTTTATTACGATTTTTTTATAAATCTTAAAATAATAAAAATTACCTCAAATCACAATCGAATTGAACCCATATTTCTTAACAATAATGGCATCGGTATTTTATTTTATTTTTATTTTATTTTATTTATTTACGGATAACTTACAGCTAGCTTAAAAAACAATAATAAAATAAACAAAAAATGAAGGCCAATTACAAGTTATCGCAGATAGTCACAAGTATATATTATAATGAAATTCAGTCCTTGTAAATTGTATCACACTACACTTATATGAAGATAAAGATCACCTTCCACTCACTATCGCGTATTGAAAAAGCGGTATGCCTAATTAATTTTTTTTTCTTTACACTTAAACATTTTCACGTAATTTTTCCTAAATATTTTATTTCAATGAATTAACAAAGTGAATTTAAACTACTAAACAAACAATTTAAGTAACTTTAATTCTCCAAAAAATAAACTGAAATTACATTTTACATTAAATATATTTCATACGAAACTTGTATGGATAGAGACAATATTCCTAGATAACATCTTCGGAAATAGTAAATCCCGCCGGATATGATTGATCGCGACTTTATCCGGGCAGTGAATTGAGCCGGGTACCCGGTCACGTAACACCCGGCTCGGATATAAAACTGTACTCTTTCATTCGAACACCCTATCCCATAACGTTGGCTTTTAATGCGGTAAAGTTTAACCCGGGTAAATTATTCTTAAAGAAGACTATATATGACAGTGGAATACGAAGCTATGCCGCCCTTTTCTGTTTAGCCCTGGGCGGTTCCCGTCGCCCTAATAGGGCTAGCACTAATTCTATTAAGAAGGATATTAGAATAACACAACCAAAGTACGCATTCTATATTTCGAGTTGCTAAATCCAGAGTTTACGTTGTTTTAGGGTTGTCAACTTTCGCTTACAGTTGGCACCAAAAGGAAAAAGAATTTAGTTACTTATACTCTGAATCCCAATATCAATAAAAAAAATGCTTTCCGTCATTTGGAAAAGAGAACAAAAATTTTTTTTTGTCAATTTTAAAATCTCGTTTTAAAAAACTAAATAAAAAAAGTGATCGGAGAGCACGTACCGCATTCTAGTTAACGTCAATCGATTTCTCCCCCACTCTCACCCCTACACCCACAGGGGGAGGGCAGAGGACTTCTATTTGATTTTATTGCCCTCTCTGACATCCAACGTACCTTTTACAGCCACGCTCTTTATACAAAACTGTATATCTACAGAAGCGCAAGAAGAATTCTGAAAATGGTCATCTTTTTATGTCTCAAAAATTAAAATGGAACAGCTGCTGTCATCGGTTGATTGAAACAAGAATATAAAACATTATAAAATGTAAATAAACATAAAAATTTTAAAGAAATTAAAACATTAGAGTTTTAATAACATCAACGTTGCGATTAAATTGTTTAGTTGCGATTGTAGAGAAAAATAAGTTGCTTTCCGTCAGTGTCGCTGTTTGTAATACTAAAAACGGATAACGAAAAGTTATAATTATGAAATGCCTGATTCACACTTGGCCAGCACAGTCAGATAGTAGTCTCAATAACTGGACTGGCATTCAACTGGCACAATTTTTAAACTAATTGGCGCCAGTACCTTCATAAAAGCGATGCCTAGCCTTGCGATAGTTCAACTGTCTATCTTACTAACATTATAAATGCGAAAGTTTGAATGGATGGATGTTTGTTAGAGTTTGTAACCTAAACGGCTAAACTGGTTTGGATGAAATTTGGTAGATATGTAGAGGATAGTTTTAAAGAACACATAGGCTGCTTACTTTTGTTGTTTTTTTAATTCAACGCGGGCCGAGTTGCGGGCGAATATTAGTATGTTATATGACTAACGAATTGGTTCTTCAACAGCTGTACAGAACGAGCGACAGCCTCGTAATACTGCCACCATACGACCTGAAGCACTCAGAGATATGGACCAGGAGCGTGCACTACGAGAGGCAGCCGTCGCTGTTGGTGTTTTTGGGTGAGAACAATAACTTACTTCAGAAAAATTATCTTGCCCTTGTCCTTACAGAGAAATAGCATATGCTGCTCTATACATATCTCTCTATCTATACTCTATACTAATATTAGAAAGTAAACAAACACTTCTTTGTTGCCTAAGATGTCAGCAATTACAGCATATTTTTGAATAACTGTTTTTTTTAATAAAAAGCACTTTTAATTTAATAAACTCACGTTACGCTTCAGGATATATATTTTCACGTTATTAAACTTAGGGGTAAATATTTTGGATAAAAACCCTAGTGTGGGAAAGAGACGTTGCTGCCAACATCAAGGAATCAAGGTTGCCATGGTTAGACATTATGTCATGTCATTTTGACATTTGCAATTGATAATTTAACAAATGTAAACAATAAAATGAAGATTTTATAATTCCTAGCGGATGAAATCGCATGGGAACAGCTAGTTCATTAATACAACAAGATATACAATAAAATGAAACAAATTGACCAGTTGAACGGATAATTCTTACTTTCTTACTAATATTATAAATGCGAAAGTTTAGATGGATGTTTGTTAGAGTTTGCCGCCTAAACGACTGAACGGATCTCGATGAAAGTGGGCTAAGTATAGAATAGCACAGGCTACTTTGTTTTTTTTTATTCCACGTGGTTGAAACGCAGACGAAAGCTGTTATTAATATAAAACTTATTACTCAAAACAATATCAGCCAGTAATTTCCGCAACAAGAAACATGCTTCAACAATGTTCCAATAAAGAAACAAAACAAAAGCGCTGCATTCATCTGCATACTAGAGAAATCATAATGCATAAAATATCAGCGAGGCGAGACAAAGAGAGTGCTTTGAAGACTGAAGTGACTAAACATTATCTACTTATGGCTAAATGTCTATGTCTATACTATAATATTATACACAGGAAAGATTTTCACTTTTAAATAACTCAAACAATACGGGACCGATTTCAAAAATTCATCACGTAAGAATAAAAAGTTTCATCCGTCCCACCTTTTAGTCCCACTATCACCAATAAGGCGACAGATGGAAGGCTATGAAATAAAATAAGTTCCAACCGCCCTTTCGACGCAAAAGGTGGGACGGATGAAACTTTTTATTCTCATCTATTTCCACGTGGGGACAGAACGGGGTGATGGTTGGGAATAATCCCGATATTTTCCTTCACCGTAAGAATGTCGGGTAAATTACATGTTGCGTATATCTTTGGTAAATATTAAGGTGTCTCTCGATCAAGTTATTATTTTTAGTTTAAATACAACCTATGTTATGACGTTAGCACACCGTTTACCCTGGTCAACGCAGTCACCCGTATCGACCCCACGTTTGACGAGACGCGGTCGCTTGAGACTTGATCCGCACGGTTGGTTCACTTGACGTCAGGGGTGTACATAATATATTGATCTAAATATATGTAATCTTCATATACTAAATCTTACTAACATTATAAATGTGAAAGTTTAGATGGATGGATGTTTGTTAGAGTTTGTAGCCTAAACGGCTAAACGGATTACAATAAAATTTGGTATAGATGTAGAGGGTAGTCTCTAAGAACACATAGGCTCACTTTTGTTCTTTTTTTAATTCCACGCCTACGAAGTCGCGAGCGAGATAAAATAAACGTGTTCTGAGATAAACTACAAAATCAACAATTAACTTGCATTCATAGAATTTTAATTAAAGAGCATATTGTATTAACTAAATAGTACACGTTTAGTGAAACTTAAATATTGGGACGTTCTTAAAATATGTAGAAAAAAACAATTGCGGATGTTTTTGGGCAGCGATTGATTTCCATTTCTATAGATTCAGGTGGTCGCTTGCTTGTTTGCCACCTTATAATATAAAAAAAAACATCCATTCATCTAATCTTACGCATCAATAATGTTAGTAAAATGTAATAATATCAGCAAATTTTTTTTTAAGAAAATAGGTGTTCTAGCATAAAATATTTATCTGCGGTTTAAACAATTCAACTTGGGTAATAACGAAATAAAAACGTATCATCTTATCTAGTATTCAAATACAAAAATAACAAACCAAAGTAAACAGATCTATCACATATTACAATTTCATATTCGGGTAGATATAAAAAATAACGAGCGTATTTGGCAGGGAGGGTAGTCGTAAAAAATACCATCTAATCCAAGAGAGTGGATAGTTCTGTAACAGTAATGTGTGAGTGAATTCATTATGTAAATATATTTATAAGGGATATTCTTATGGTGTTTTCGAAGACGTATTGTGATTATTATGAACTCTGATACATCTTACTCGGAATACTTTTTGTTGTATTATTTAACTAGCTGTTACCGTGCGGCTTCATCCGCATTTAATCATGAAAATTTTATTTTGTTGTCTACATTTGTGAAATTATCAAATGCAAGCAAATGTCAAAATGACGTGATGTTACAAGCCTTGGCAATCTTTCTTCCTTGATGTTGGCAGCAACTTATTGTCTCTTACCCACATAGAGTTATAAATTTAATGGCGTAAAAATATAGCCTAAAGCGTGACATAAGTGTAGGGCTTTTTATTAAGAAATGAATTATTTAAAAACATGTTGTAATTGCTGACATCTTGGGCAACAAAGAAGTGTGTGTTTACGCTTTATTATAATAGTATAGAAGTATAGATAACAATAGATATAGAATAGTGTAGAAGAGTAGGAAAATAATGTTTCTGTAGTTCTGTAGAGATCCAAGGTTATATGTAGCGATATGTTTCAGTCCGCCGGTGTCGCTAGCCATGGCGCTGTCTCCGGCGCGCTACCCGCTGCTGTCGCCGCACTACCCGCCGCTGCCCGCGCCGCCGCCGGACTCCTCGCGCGATATCGAACATCACACCGATAGTGACGGTAACTTAGTCATACAAAATATCTATTTTATACCAGGTTTATTGACTGCGACTGAGTAGAATTAAAAACAGAAATATGTGTTTTTCCAGACCACGTTCTACATCTACACTATTACACTCTAAGTAGAATTGTTACATCGCACCCGCGGACAGATAAAATATATTGTTTATGCAGGGCTTTATCTTACTAATGTTATAAATGTGAAAGTTTATATGGATGGATGTTTGTTAGAGTTTGTAGCCTAAACGGCTGAACTGATTTCTATGAAATTTGGCACAGATGTTGAGTATGGTGTGGGAGAACACGTAGGCTACTTAGTTTTTTTTAATTCCACGCGGAAAGAGTCGCGTTGTATTTTGTTTAAACCTATGTTAAAAAATTATCGAAATTTGATTAGCAGTTTAGACTACAAACTTTAACAAATATCCATCAATTACTCCATCCATCCAAACTTTTGTATTTTTAATATTAGTAAAATACGCCGCTTAGCGCCATCTATTGATTGAAACATTGAAAATTGAAAACTGCTATTTTGTACACATTATTCGCCGCTAGATGTCATTACTACTAATTTTAGATTTAAAAAAATTTGTTATCCATAATAAATCTAATTTATATATTTTTAATGTATCCACAGATGACAGTATCGACGTTACTAATGAAGAAGATTCCACATCTTATTCTCCGCCTGCGATAACTAACTATCCACAGAACTGTCCACCGTACAGGTAATTTATAATTTCTTTACTATGAACTTTGAAGCATTTTTACTTATTTATATTTAAACAGCATTTTGTATTTAAAGTACATTTTTTATTTTATTTTACTATAATAAAGTTTGAATAACTCTTGACTGTTTTAGTCGGTTTCCTTTGCTGGTGAGCAAAAATAAATTTGACAGACAGACAGACAGTCAGACAGACAGGGTACGCACAGTATCCTATGCGTCCTCTCCTCTGTCAAGGAATGTCCTATTTCTGTGTGTGCTTGTGGTTGACTAAAAGCAACATCAGCGTTTGATTCGCTATTTCAGCGAATCCCAGTAGCTTTTCCTCGTTTGCCTTAATAACAAAAAACTAAACAGTAATATGAAATAGTATGTGTCATTAAGAAATACAGGAATAAGTATACATTTGTTAAATTTTCAGACCATTGGGTGTGGAGAGTTCAGCGGAGACGGCGGCGCGGCTTCTCTTCATGGCGGTCAAATGGGCGAAAAATTTACCTTCTTTCGCCAGTTTGGCTTTCAGAGATCAAGTGAGCATTACATTTTCTTTCTTTAGTTTTAGTTTAAAAATAAATTTATTTAGCTGGTCTCGGGGCGAAGAAAAAAAACAGTTCTATCTGCTTCCGTTTTTCATGATTTTATTTTAGCGCCATCTAACAAATGATAATAGAAAACAATTTTGTACAATTTGATATATTTGAGTTCTCATCAAAAGATGGCGCTTCTTGTTAATTCCGTCGCGAGTTCAAATGAATCAAATTAAAATAGAAAAACAAGATAACATTTCACTATTAACAAATTACATACATAGTGCAATTCTACAGTGGTAGAATCTTTGCACGAATTGGTCGGCTCGCCCTGGCAAGCCGATTACACCAGTGTAATACCACGACTAGACAAGCGTGAAGTGGAAGCAATTCCGCGTAGTCTGATGAGTGTGTTGCCGGAGGGCTCATTAAAGTCCTTTTCTCTTATCACTCTTTTCTTATAAGGAAAGGATAGGGAAGGAAAATGAATTTGACGGTGGAGGAGACGCACAGAAAGGGAAAATATCCTTTAAGTGCGTCTCCTCCGTCGATTAAGGGTTTTGTAGGATTCAGGCGACCGCTTGTTCACGTTATATTATAAAAAAGCAGTTTAGTCCATCTATCTAAGCTTTCACATTTATAATATTGGTATGTTTGTGTGTGAGGTGATCCTGCTGGAGGAGGCGTGGTCGGAGCTGTTCCTGCTGAACGCCATCCAGTGGAGCTTGCCGCTGGACGCCGCGGGCTCCGCGCTCTTCGGCAGCGAACAGACAGACCAGGGTAATATACCATTCTCTTTACATACGAAACTAGTTGTTAATCGCGACTTCATCCAAATTTAACTTATGATAACTTTTGAAAGGTAAAATAATTTTTCAACCTGTCCATTAGTTTTTGAGTTATTTCAATATATACAGAAATACAAAAATACAAATCTATCCTATCTATAATATTAGTGTAGACTATATCGTCTACTACTATCTATACTAGTACATATCATAAAGAGTAAAGATTTGGACTCTGGTATGTATTGAAATAACTCAAAAACTGCTTTGGCGATTTCAATCATTCTTACACCATTAAAAAGTTACGTTTTTAGTGAGTAACATGGGCTGTTTTATTTACTATTTTATTAATGTAACACGCTCAGTTGTAACAGGCCGATATCGGCCTGCCGCAGTACTTAAATTGGTGCGGACGTAGAAAACTATATCCCTGTCGCTAGTTCGAAACGATTATCTCAAGTGTATGCGTTACATTACATAAAATGCATACATTATGTTTCCACAAAGATATAGCAATTTACTATATCTAAGTGATTTTACTTATTATTACAAATAGACCCTATTACGTTCGCCCTTTTTTTCAACCTATTACCAAAAGTATTAACTTAGTAGTAATCTACGTAATAACAGAAATCTACCGATTTAAGATTCAAATTTCTAACCCTGGTAGCTTGTAAGCTGATTCTTCGATTACCCTTATTGTTTCTGTTGGCGATATCTTCTAAACTATTAGTCCAATTTAAATACTGTTAAGGACAATTTTATTCTACATTAAATTCTTCTGATAACAAACGCAATTGCATAAGGATTAATATTGAAACCAATAAAAGAACGCTGCAAATAGCGTGAGGTTTTTAATTCATTTTGTAAACAAAAAAGTGGTTATTGTAAGAAAACCGTTAAAGATATGCTATCGCAGACTTTTCTATAAAACTTTTTGAGATCTACAATTCTGTCATACATCATTTTTATATACCTCTAACGATTTAGGCAGCGTAAGCCGGGAAAAGTTAAAGTTTAGTAAATTTTTAACGCCGGCGTCCAGAAACACGCTGTTTATTAATAGTTCCTAAACATAAGTAATAATAAAATATAGCCTATGTTACTCACAGATAAATTACCTATCTGATGGTTAAAGAATTATCAAAATCGGCCCAGTAGTTTTTGAGTTATTTCAATACATACAAAAATACAAAGTTTTCCTCTTTATAATATTAGTATAGATAAAAGTGTTGTGTGTTTGTGCGTGCGGCAGGCGGCGGCTGCTCGGAGACGCGGCGGCGGCTGCGCGAGGTGGCGGCGCGCTACCGCGCGGTGCAGGTGGACCCCGCCGAGTTCGCCTGCATGAAGGCCATCGTGCTCTTCAAGTCCGGTCAGTGCGCAGTGCCATTGCCACATTGCCACATTGCCACATTGCCACCACAACTTACGAATAAACTGAGTATAAACATAGTTACTTAGTTACTACTAATACTTGCTTATACTCAATTTATTCCTAACTTTAACTTTATACCGCATTTATTTGTAAGGCTTTTTATCTGTTTCATAACTTTCAGATTAAAACACTCCCTTATAATGTTTACATAGTCAAAAATAAAAATCACCGCATTATCTATTAATCGATCCTCAAAACCACTTGTCAATAATTAATTGTATTTCAATTAATTGCCAATAGGTGTCACTAAATTATATTTAAATGTTGATATTTCGTGACGCTGTTTATTTTATTTTATAACAAAAGATGGAGCTTATTGTAATTTTATAAAATATTTCATAACATGTCTATATGGATATAAGGGTGCACCAAAATTACAAAAAATGGTATCGGAAGTCTATATTAGTTCCTTTCCTTTTTCTCCCTTTTATAAAGGAAGGATAGGAAGATACAATTCATTCCATACTTTTATACTATTATAATAAAGCGTAAACACACATTTCTTTGTTGTCTAAGATGTCAGCAATTCCAGCATATTTTAGAATAATTCTTTCTTTAATAAAAAGCCGCTCACTTACGTCACGCTTTAGGCTATATAGTTTCACGCCATTAAACTTAAGGGGTAAATATTTTGGATAAAAACCCTAATGTGGAAAAGAGACCATAAGTTGCTACCAACATCAAGTAAGCAAGATTGCCAAGTTTTGTCATGTCATGTCATTTTGACATTTGCAATTGACAGTTTGACAAATGTAAACAATAAAATAATTTTATGCCGATGAAATCGCACGGGAACAGTTAGTTAATAATAATTGCAATAGCGGGCTCGAAAAATAGTAAAGTATACGCACCCTACTGGTTACGAAAACGGGAAAATCCTTATCTAACTGGTTAGATAAAGGGAAGAAGCCTTCTATGTGTGGTGTGTGTGTCGCAGAGACGCGCGGGCTGAAGGAGCCGCTGCAGATAGAGAACCTGCAGGACCAGGCGCAGGTG